TCGATATAGAGTGGTTTGGTTAATTATCTTTCATACTGGTCCTGTTACTTTTGCTCGAGTGTATGCGTATTTGTATGTGTGCGTATTATCATTTATATGTAATAAGGTTCCTAAATTAGAGTTGTCAAAGGTTTAATCTCACGTTCAAATCCTCAAGGCCTAATGACCCAAGAGAAAGCCTTGACCGTAATCGCGTAAGTCAGTAAACAAGTATGGTTGAGAAAATGAGATATGAGCTTGTAGGCATGAAAATCAAGTTACGAAACCACTTGTCTAACCTTCAGTTTAGGGTCATTAACGTTTAACCCCCAAAGGAAAGGCAAGACTCGGGTTGCGTTATCGGACATGTCTGGTTTGGTTGATGAGCTTGTTCTAAAATGTGAGTGAAATTAGAACCATCACCGGGCAGACAAATTGAATCGTCTTTTTTTTGACGGCGGCTTAACACTCTCTTTCAATCTATTAATCAAGCATAAGTAGTTCCTACTCAATTTTCTACCACCGTTCCTCATATTTAACGTATTTCCTAAGCTATTAATTCCAATAGCCTCTTTTATCTTTCTTTTAACCACAGATGTACTATAATCAGCAAACTTTTTAGTTTTGAGATCATTCTATATCATGTCCAGTTTCTATCATATGTTCGACCACTTTTGACCGTTGGATCCAGCTTCCTTTGCACGCATTTTTGTGTTTCCCCAATCTTTGTCGAATAGGTCGACATGTCTAACCAACATAACATCGACCACATGAGAAAAAAATCTTGTAGCAGCCGGATATCGATGATGGGTCATATTTCTCCCTAAAAGATGTCATAACAGCAGATAGAGCCTGATAGTATTCTTGTCTTAGTGTTGACTTGAGAATTTTACAAGAATGAGTCCTTACTCTGATGATATCCACCATATGATGGACGAAAGCTCAGCCCGTTTTCACCTAAAAAGAGGGAGCAGGTCTCGTACACTGCGTTAATCTCAACATCGTATTAAAGCCAAACGGCTGCAGTACAACGGGGTTTAACCGTTCTCTTCTGGTGATATCGACCTTTTGATCTCTTCTTACACTTTCATACTAAATGAAAGTCCAAATAATAATGTTATCTCAGGAGATTCATCGAAACCCAGTAAATCTTCATATTCCTAAAAGTTGTTTACATCCAGAGTGGATGCAGTTTCGAACTTTCCTAGGTCTTATCAACATTCCCAACGTGAGTCGAACTATGACAATGCAGCATGTAAGCTCGACACGTGATATAGAAAAATGCCTGGCTTTCCTGACTAACGTGTCAAGCTTACATGCTGCATTGTCATGGTTCGACTTACGCTTGGGATATTGATAAAACCTAGGCGAAGGCGAAACTGCATTCAACCTTGAGAACAACTTTTGGGAAAACAAGACTATGTGAAGCCCAATATAAACGTCAGCTCTACTCATATAATTGCAGGAAAATTCAACTACCATCGTCTCAAACGGAATAAGGTGAATACATCTCATATTCAAGCACGTTTATGTTAATCTGACAAACAGACAATCACAGAGAGCCATTTTGTTCTAACCCCATGATAAAGGAGTTTCTGAGTATCCGAGGCATTATTATCATCATTAAACTTTATAGAATACTAGCTTGTTGAAATTCACTTATATCATTTAGAACGTTATGGTTCTCATGAAAGTACCATTCAACCTCAGCGAAATGTGATCTATACAAAACATTTTTACGCGTTATCTTTCATCTCATTAACATGTCTCAAGATGTTGCCGGGCACAGTATTTACAGAGTCATGCTTTCGACTAAGGGTGTTACTATAGTTTTCGGCTCTTCTTCGTTGGAACTATGATGGAGTTTTTTCTGTCTAAATGTAGTATTTGATGTATTTTATATAAAGCTTCATCTTATTTATATTATTTTCAATTATCTGTATTTATTTTTCTTATCTTTTTATACTTCTGCATTCTGAAATTTCCTTTGGCTTTAATTATTTATTTTATTTTGTTTTATTTTTTTCTATTTATAATGCCTCCTTTCTTACCTGCACTTTCACTAAAATGTTCATACACATGGATGACGAATGTATCAATTTAGTGCCCTTATCCCCTATTCTCCCTATGGATGACTCGGCTTCTAACTCTTGCCAGTCCCTCCAGTCAGGCTCTTACTTGTGAAACCGACAAATATATATCACAAAACAATCTGGATGTTGGCTATTTGGCCGATTCTCCTCGTGCTCTCTCTCTCCACCTTCTACGTGGAATTTTTCTTGACGCCTGTCTAGCTCCCCGGGCCCTCTTACTAGCATACACTCCTACCACTTCTGTCTCATTCAGTTTTACTCAACCAGTGATCTCGAGGTCTCTATCACTACCGCGATTGCCTACAAATAGTTTGCCTAAAGAGTTAACTTTTAAACGGCAATACCAGAAGAAGGATGAGAAAGCCCAACCAAGCAGAATAGAAACACTCGCACTATCGGCCATTTCATTTGATAAGCCACCTATGGAACCATTACTTGGGCCTCGTTTGACAGCAGCATCCCCAGAAGCAACCGACGTCGATTTAGCAACCGAATTCAAAGTGGAATCATCAGGCACCGAATTGCTGTCAACCTTACCAAATGTTATATCATCTCAGTCTGATAGTTCACTCGACGGATCTGCCACATTAGTTCATGTACCATGTAATTGGTTGGCCAGAGCAATAGCTGACGCAGCAGTGCCTGGACTACAGGACCCTGATTGGATTGTATCTAATGCTTCTTTGCAGCTGTTTGGTAATTTTTTAAACTTATACATGGAAAGTTTTTATGCAAACAGCCTAGAAGACTTTATATATATGCAACTTTAAGAGGATAGACTCTGGATGTAATTTATCCAGAAAGTGCATTTTTATCCAAATCAAGTTATTCCTTTGCACATCTTATCTCTGACCCCCTTTTGCATCCGAGCTCATTGCGTTCCTCATTTAAGATTAACTTATTACTTACAAATGATACATACTATTGCGGATTTTAAATGTTACTCTAAAGTCAAGGTATGTATCTTTAGGATCATAGCTTTGATAAAGAACTATCAATATGGTATACTTATTCAATAACACTAGAACCAACACTGTCTTTATGCTATGCTAAAAGTTTAATCGCATAATTATTGATAGAACTTTTTTTATAGTTAGGGTATAACACAGGTAAGATTTTAACAACTGATAATGTGCAGAGAAGACTTAATTATACCTTTTGAGTTCATTCTGCATTCTGATAGTTACCTTGATATTTGCCGAAAATTCAGCGGCTTTTCATTTCCATTCATCCAAGATCTGGTTTTAAATGGCTTTTATCTGGTTCTAGTACCATATGTTCATATATCGTGATTTATACTTACTGCCAGCTAGTAAAATTGCCTTATATATTACACATTGTTCGGCTACTTATAATTGTACTATACATGCACAATTTACACTTCTCTTTTATAGCTGCTCTCATACTTCGCCTTACTGGCTCTTCTGCTCACCGACTTCCACCTCCTATTTTTGAGGTCTTCAATCCACAGCCGATGCCTGCTCCTCAGCTCACTGATTTTTCCACTTCATTGCCCTCCTATTTGTCCTTGAATGCGCCCAAGGCTATATCTCGCTCTGCTGTGGGTTATTCTGTTAATGCCGACATAGCTAGGTTTGCATTTAGAATGACAAGCTTTTTTCTTATCTATAGCTTTTCATTTACCTACCTCTTTCCATCCGTTTTCCTCATCGCATAGATTATCCTTGGAAGAACAAAATCTCTTTTCGATCTTCTTTCGGCTCTTGAA